ATTGAGTATCTACATGTTACAGTCATGTAATGTTCATCTATTATTGGCTAGTAATCCCTGATTCACCCTGTACTTAAGCTTTTTAAAGAAACACCAGATATTTGTAAGAAAGTTAACTGTAAGGGGTGAGGATAACATTGTTTACACTATAATTATGATGTTTTTTAGCTTATGTAAAATATAGAAGAAACAAATTGATTTTTCACTACCCCTAAGACCTTCACAGTACCTTATTTAGTATTCTACAAAAGGTGTGGGTGCAATATACCAAGCCGTTTTTGTTGTAGGCTGACAAGATAATATTATTAAGAAGAAGAAGAATTACAAACATGCCGTTTGAGAGGATTTTCTCGTCTTTGTGAGTCTAACATACGTGCTTTTTTTGTACATTTTTTATACGTGTAAAACCTTAGCAGGCAATAGTGAAAATTTTAAAGTGTTGTTTGAACTGAATCTTTTAAGACGTTTTTTTGTCCGAACGTTCTACTATGGTTTCGTGCCATACCTTGCGATCCCTATAATGAACCACTATCGTGACTCATGATAATGTTCATCAGTAGATAATGCATGGTTATAGTATAAAACCTTTTGAACTGAATTATTTTTTGACTTTTTATTTATTTTTATTCTGGGTAGTTTAGCTATATTAACTTAGCTGTGATCTCTAGATTTGTTTAATAATAGTGCATTGATATTTACTAATAACTTTACAACTACTAAGCAGTCTTTGTTCTGGATGTCTGGGGTCTCTAGATTTGTTTGATAATAGTGCATTGATGTTTTTACTGATAACTTTACAACTACTAAGCAGTCTTTGTTCTGAATGACTGAGGTCTCTAGATTTAGTTATCAATCTGAAATCCTGTTTGATCGAGCTTCCTGTGCTTTCCTGTCATGTTTGTGCAAGAATGTGACCTCTAGACTTACTTAGTATTAGCGTCATTTGGGGGATGGAAAACAGGGATCCCCCCAGTTCAGAAGGGGGCCACAAATGGCATTTTCTGTGAGACATTTCCGGACAGGCAGGATTAACCCATGCACCCAAATCACACCATAGCGTAGAGACCACAGTTGAATTTGGGAGGGGGGGGGGACGTGAGGTCAGTCTTCTGTGAAATGATCCCGATTAGCGTAGCTCTGTTTGCCTGAGATCTTTACATTTATTTAGTAATTTGTAAATCTGTATGACTTTATTCAACAGCCAAGTAGTTGTGTAAGACTGAGACCCCCTAGGTTTGTTTAATTATCGTGTAACATTGTATGGCTTACATATCTATGTAAGTTTTAACAGTCGTATCGTTTTATATGTCTGGGCCTTTTTGGCGTTTGTTTAACACCTACTTTATTCCCTGTTAATAATAACTGGGGCTCTTTAGATTTGTTTAACACCTACTTTATTCCCTGTTAATAATAACTGGAACTCTTTAGGTTTGTTTAACAATTGTGTAGTTCAGTATGATCAAGATTTGTGAAGCTTGAGCTTCTTTCTGAATGAATGAATGAAAACTCTTTAAGTTTGTTAAACAATTACTTTATTCCATGTTAATAATAACTTCAATCACAGTTAAGTGGTTTGATTGAGTTGTGGCCTCAATAAATTAATAAGAAAGCTCTCTTTCTCACAGATACTTGTGTTTACTACTGGAGTTACTTATCATCCTAAAGTAATTTGAATGGACAACTACATCACACCCATCTAAGATTTGATTTAATTTGAATTTCGCCCAAACCTACGTGAGGGTTATCTGCGCTAGCTGTCTCTAATTTAGCAGTGATAGACCGCCAACTCCTGGGCTACTCTTTTACTAACGAATAGTGTGATTGACCGTCACATTATAATGGCTGAAAGTGCGAGCATGTTCGGTGACGGGGATTCGAGCCTCTAACCACCAGTCCCTCATCTAAGGAATATTTCAAAATATTTGTCTTGTTTTCACTGTTGTATGTTCGAATACATCTTGTAGAGGAGTTTACAAAACTTTGTAAAAACCAGAGCAAGTAAACTGATAAACAACATTTGATATATTCAGTGTCAGTATTATGTCTTTAAAACTAAAAAGAAAAAAAGTGCTTTCAGCTTTTGCATCTGATGTGAATGTATTCTAGGAATAACTTTTACACAGTTGATTTTCTACACATAAGTAGTTTTTACCATTAAAAATAAAATTTAGGTATTTACTGCTTGTTCAATAAGTATTTCATATTTACGGCAAAACTACAAAGATTATCTGCTGCCGTCTCTAATTTTGTTTTAATGTCCAAAGAGAGTGAACACAACCGGTCAGCAGACCCCTACGGTTCACCCTAAGGAATTGGCTTCCCCTCTTATAACGCTCCCACAGTTTAAAGTGCGGGGAATATTTTGTAATATCATAAGGGATCCGACCCAAATTCAGAGCTCTACCATAGGGTCAACCCGCGTCTTGTTCAAATAGTTTTGTTTGTAGTTAGACACAAAGCTACACAATGGGCTATCTTACACTCTTCCTACCAAGGGTATCGCAACCCGGTTTTTAGCGCTGTAAGTCCGCAGACATACCGCTGTGCCACTGGGGGGCTATCAAAATAGTAATATATATAACACTATTAATAGTAATAATATTCCATTATTATTGTGATTAAAACACCGAGAGATAAAAAAAATTATTTTATTGGTGTTTTGTAGTAAAATTAATGCTGTTGTGTTTACTGTTGAAGTAATTCAGAAACAGTCATTCATGATCAGGAGAAGACAAAAATTATCATCATGATAACCGCACTAATAAAGACACAGGGTTATAATTTTACCATTCGATTTCATAAAAATCAAGAAACACCGTATCATAAAAGCAAAAGTTTTGAGACGGCTTCATTGGGTAATGAAAAAAACTTTATTATAAATGTACGACGTTTCGACAAGATTTTGTCATCCTGCGGTTCCTCGTTATCAAGTATTATAAAAGATTTGTTTGTTTGTCTGTTGTTAAGCGCAAAGATACGAAACAGGTTATCCGTACTCTGCCAACCGTGGGTATCGAAAACCGATTTTTAGCGTTATAAGCCCTCAGACTTACCGCTTAGTCACCGGCGGGCATCTTAAAAAAAAAAGACTAGTTGTGATTCAGTAGCCAGTTCATCAGCCTGGCGTGCATTTGGAAACGTGATTTATTGTTTAACGTTTATGAATGTCAAAAACACATGTTCAGGCAAGTAAACATCGTTCTCTTTCTTTTTTCTTTTCTTTTTTGAGGGGGGCGCACAAGCACAAGACCTTTATAAAAAAACTCAATGCTGAGAGACTCTGAATCAAAATTAGCACAATAAGCTATTAAGCTTTCACTGAATTTCGTGCAAAAACTCCAAACTGTTTTCTTATGTGTGTTGCCCCCCAGTGGCACAGCGGTATGTCTACGGACTTACAACGCTAGTAACCGGATTTCGATACCCGTGGTGGGCATAGCACAGATAGCCCATTGTGTAGCTTCGTGCTTAACTTCAAACAACAACTTATGTGTGTTACGATTGGCGATTGGTTAAAAAAAATTACCTCAAATAACTTGGCCTTATATTAAGATTTTAACCCGGTTGTGTTCAGTTTTATAAGATTACTGGTGTTTATACCTCATGATGATTTGACTTATTTAGTATAACTATGCTATAATCTTTATCAGGTTTCATTATTGGAATGTTTTAATTTTTCTAAGATTTATTAAAGTGTGAATTTTCTTAAATATAATTGTCTATCTTCAAAATCATAATTATTAAAAGAAATCAAAGCAGTTCAATTTATTTGGTTTCTTATTTTAAATCCTCATTTTCAAAGCAATACAGATTGTTTGAAAGTTAGAAAATATTCTTAAAATTTAAATTTTATGTAAGATGTTTCTGTTTTTACGGATATTCGCGCAAAGCTACTCAAGGACTATATGCGTTATCCGTTCTTAATTTTGAACTGATAGACTAGAGGCAAAGCAACTAGTCAACAGCACCCACCACCAAAGTTTGCAGTGCAATTTTTTGAGATAACGGAACGCGAACAGTGGACCCGCAAATCCACAGTTCGGCGCGCTGATCACTCGGCTACACTCGGTCCCTTTCTACAAGAAACAATGAATTTTAATCCACAAGTCGGCTTTTGTTTGCAATACTTTTAATTGCAATTATACTCCGCGCCTTCCTACTTTACGATAGCGAATGATTGAGCCTTGAGTGGGCGTGTTAAACTGAGTTACTTGCCCAAATACGATTGGCCTCTCTGTGGGTTTCCGTTTATCTGCCCAATCAGAGTTAAGTGGTTGGTTACCTGTTGGTTGTATTGAGAAGCTGGGATATAGTGAAAATTTGGTCCGACTGTCACCAGGTGAGTACTTTGTCGAATGTTACGAGTCTAATTTATTTACACGATGACTATGGTTGATGGATTGAGCAACAGTACAAGCTTTGGTGGTTGCGGGAAACAAGATCACATTAAGCGGCCCATGAATGCTTTCATGGTTTGGTCTCGTGCCCAGCGCCGGAAAATCGCTTTGGATAACCCTAAGATGCACAACTCTGAAATCAGCAAAAGACTGGGAGCTGAGTGGAAACAACTATGCGAGGACGACAAGCGGCCCTTCATCGATGAAGCCAAGCGTCTGCGCGAGCAACACATGCGGGAACATCCCGACTACAAGTACCGACCCCGGAGAAAACCTAAACCACAGGTAAAAAAACAAGAAGCTTACCCGTTCTCCCTGCCCTACATCCACGGACACGTAGATCCACGGGCTTACATGACTTCTACAGTCTTGCAACAGGCGACTGCTGGATATTCAGAGAGTCATCAGATGACAGAGGCTGCCCTCAAAACTTCACCTTTTTCTTATTCCATGGGTAATCCATACTGTACACATATGGGTTTGACACCTTCCGAGTCCACCGCTAAGCCTAGCATACAGTCACCATCAACGACCTTGAAAAACGACATGGTTATTCATTCCACAGGTACAGCTGTTAGTTCTATCTATGGAAGAACAGGATTTTACCCAACATCATTAGCTTCTATTAACTCTCCAATAACCGGCATTTCAAACGGCCAGGTCCCGATGACTCTTTCAACTCCTGCCTCCTATGCTGCATCAGCCTATATGTCAACATACGGCTACAGGCCTTCTGGATATTCACCATCCAGTGATCCTCAACGTCGAAATATCTCTATGTTATTCTAGACTGTACTTATATAACTGTTGTTTATTCTGTTAGATGAATTATTTTGTCAGAACAGTCAAGTATCTTAATTGAATTATTACGCTGTGCCACCAAATGAAGGCTGTGTATTTCTTAGCTTCGTAATGAATGAACTAAAGCATGATAAGCAGTTGCATTTTGCATTATTGCTCAGATGTTGTAGGACAAAAGAAATGTGTATTTATATCTATACAAATACAAGGAAAACCCACCAATTATGTGATATTCTCAGTTGAGAAATGCATTTGAACAATTATTATTATTTCACCACGACGATGGGAAATGTTACACGAGAATTGTTTATCATGTTTCATCAATAATTACTCTACGATTATTATGTTTCATCATATTTTGGAAAGAACCATGTATCATGATTCCTGAAATTGGCCAAAATGTGCAAAGAATATTATGTGCCTATGAAAAATGATTTCGTTCTGTTGTGGGTTACTGTTCCTTTCTTATGATTACAGACTAAGTAAATAAAGGCAAAGTTTGAAAGTGGCTTAAAATAAGTGTGTTTGAACATTGCTTTCCATCACACACATATTTCAACTTAATAAAAGACCTGAAAATAACAGAAATGAATTAAAAATAATCAAACTACATAAATGTTTTATGAGCCAAGTCAAATATATTTGTATATGTAAAACAGTATTTAAATATGCCTCTAAAACTGCATTGTTAATATGTATATTTTATCTTCACTTTGTGTAAATTTGTCTGTCTTATTGGCAAATTTTATATCAATAAAATGGATTGTACGTTTGAAAACTTTTGGTTACGCATGTTGATTAGCTCCAGTATAGTCTGAAAAAAAAGTTAATGGTTTTTAATTTTCATCACATAAGTTAAGAAACTATTTTATTATACAGTATTCATTCTGATGTGCCTGTTTATGTTTCATTACATTATAAATTTCATTAGAAATTAAGCTGTGGTTATCACGTTGTATGTGCGTTTTCTTAACACTTTAACTCAGATGACTCCAGGTAGATATAAAACACACTAAAAATGTGTTTAGAAGTAGCACATTAAAAATCGTTAATACGTGTAGCCAAAACTTCTGTTTTCACTAATTTTCTGTAGAGCTACTCTTATTTTTAGTAGTTTACAAAAACAGATATTTGAAAAATTTCATGGTCAAATATTATACAATGGTTATAGGTTATAAACCATCGCTGTAGCAGTGTATTGTGATTAGACACATTTGGCTAATAAAATATATTACACACGCAGATATATATATGTGTATAAATGTAGTAGAAAACTAGTAATAATAAATATATGCAATTACAAAAAGATAAGTTAGCAGTTGTAAGTGGGCGGAGGCTGTCAGCAACCATAGAACAATGAAGTGAAAAAATATTCAAATGTAATCCAAGAACATGCAGAGACAAAATTTGGTTCAGGACATTACAAGTTCAAGCACCTGAACCAGGCCGTCTAGGATGTGTATGCTGTTTTAAAGTAGAATCTTACCCTTTTTGGTGTATATTGGAAGAGACCGTCTTCTCAGCGCTATTTAAATGCTAGTTGTACATCACTCATGACTAAATAAGTTTTTGAATATTTTTTCCGTCATGTTTTGTCTTTGCGCATTTTTGGCTTACATTTTAAGATAAACGGTTGTAATATTGGAGGTAAGAAGACGATCGAGTGATGACCAACTATGCGGGTCGGAGGTTGGCCTTGTGGTAGAACTCTCGATTTTGGAGCTTGCGAACTAGGTTCGAATCTATGTGATAACACATGCTATTCCCCACACTTTAAACTGCGAGTGCTTTATGAGAATGGCAGTCAATCCCTTATCGTGGGAGAACCTCTTTTATACCTGTTACAAACAAACAACTAGCCTTATTACGAAGACAAATACCAACTATTTAAGTGTTGTACAACTGTGTAATACATGCCTCTAAGTACGGACCAAGCTATGATTCAAAAAAAAGTAATAATTACTCTTCTCGTCCACGACTGTAAACTGCTTTTGCAGGTTTCCTGCCAGCTATCATAGTTAGTGGTTATAACTGAATGACGATGCAATGAAGGGTTATTTGTCCACTTGAAAGAAATATTTTTCAATAAAATATCGACTTTTTACTAAAGCAGACACAACGAGTGATTATATAGTATGCATAAATGATGTAATTAAACTCGAAATTAATAAACCATAATAATTCAAAGTTAAACCAACAACGCCTACTGTAAACTAAGCGATGTCGTAAAGTGTGTTAAAATACATTGAATCATTAGATATACAGATAATTTTGTACTCATCACACTACTTTGTTTTTATTGTAGCGAAAAGCTACACAATCTACTCTCCGTCCACAAAGGGAATCAAACACCGGATTTTTAGCGTGTAAATCCGTCAACTTACCGCTGAACCACTGGGGGACATTTTTTTTCCTAACTTACAAGATGGACAACTAATTTGCTGTGATAAAGTACGTGCAAAACTATTAGAAAAACCCAACTCCTTGAAATCGATTTTGGCTCAGCGAAACGTTTCCCAGCTTATAGCGTTAAAATTCAGGTTTCGATACCCACGGTGGGCTGAGGACAGATAACCCACCGTGTAGCTTTTCGCTTAGTGACAAACAAACCTCAATCACAGATTAATTAAAACATGATTAGTGGACTATAAACTATATTTCATGTATATCTACCCTCACTTCCACGACTTGGAACTAAGTGGAGGTAGGTGGTCGAAGTTTTGAATAGCACGACAAAAAAGTACACACAAAAAATACAGATGTTGTGCAACACAAATATATTCGCTCATTGTGTGCATTCTTTTGGTAAAGATAACGTATATACGGCTTAATTGTGTGAGTGAAAATAACGTATCGGTGTGACTCTTGGACGTTTTATGGTTATTGTCCGTGACGAAAATTTTCAGTTTTTTTTTAAAATTCTGTAAATGTTGTTGCTGTTGTATCTATTCATAAGGATTTAAACCACAAATAATTCAACTTAAAAGCAAAAGTTGCTCAGAGTCAGAACATGTGTTTTAGTGATCTTCAATTTAAGTAAACATTTCTACTCGTGAATAAATTGTAATTTTGCATATTTCCAACCGAATTTTTTAGCAGTTTCATCAAAGACATAATTCATCGGTTAAATGTAAAGCAGCTTCCCTTTCTCAATTTTGAAACAAAAGAAAAATTAAAAAATAATTTTTTGTCCTTAAAAAGTTTATATTATAATCCTTTCCAATTATTCGCAGTAAATTGGTAAACTGTTCTTTATTTTTACATTTACAGCAATAATTACACTTAAGTTTATTTTAAACATTTTTCTGTCATTTTAATTGTTTTACTTTATAATAATTTCGCCGCTTTTTATACACAAAATTCAATTTGTCGTTATATTCGACTACACATTGAATTGCAATGTTATTAAAATTACGATTATAATAACATATAATGCACAACATATTAACATTTCATTAGAAGGATAGAGATTACAGTACATATATACCTATTTCAAAAAATACAGAACACAATTTCAAAAAAATACTTCAGCACAAAACTACAAATATGTAACAAAAACCAGTTTTACATTAAACAACCCTCAAAGCTACATATATATAGCGAATGATATCACTACAAGTACGAAACAGACATTCTATAACAAAACTGATAATGTTCACAGCTGTATATAATAGGGACATTCAGAACTCGAAATCAAACAAAATAAAGCACGCATTGTTAACAATCAGCAACATAAAATAGAACACATTCAGAACTCGAAATGAAACAAGATAAAGCACGCATAGTTAACAATCAGCAACATAAAATAGAACACATTCAGTACTCGAAATCAAATAAGATAAAGCACGCATAGTTAACAATTAGCAACATAAAATGGAACACACTCAGAACTCGAAATCAACAAAATAAAATACTCACAGTTAACAATCAAGAACAGAAAATAGAACACATTCAGAATTCGAAATCACACAAAATAAAACACGCATAATTAAGAATCAGCAACATAAAATAGAACACATTCAAAACTCGAAATCAAACAAAATAAAATACTCACAGTTAACAATCAAGAACAGAAAATAGAATACATTCTGAATTTGAAATCAAACAAAATAAAATACTCACAGTAAACAATCAAGAACAGAAAATATAATACATTCAGAATTCGAAATCACACAAAATAAAGCATGCACAGTTAACAACATAAAAATAGAGCAAACACACTCACATGTTTATACATTAAATAATGGATTTAGTATAAGTATCCTTGCATCTTGATTTAGTGTGTCGTTTAGTTCATACATCTAAATTGGTTATATTAATACAGATTAATAAGATGACAGCTTCTTTAAGAGCTTTTGCTACTTGTTTCTAAAGGAAAACAATTCATAAATGATCTTATCATATTCTATATCCAATAGCATTTTTTATGATAAAACATTTTTTTGTCGTTATTATAGACATGCTGCCTGGCACGTATAAAAACCGTTATTAATTGTCTGGCAGTAAAATCTACCTGGGACTATATACGTAAATTAACACACACTTTTATTTCGTCAGTTGTTACGAACAGTAATACTTCTACAGAACTGGCCGACAATCGTCACATTAAAGTGAAAGTAGACAACCAAACGAAAGGTGGTCTAATCACGTGGATTAAGAGAAAAGTGCATGCTGATATGGTGGCGTTAGTAATGACTCTCCTCCACACCTTACATTAGCGGCAGACTTCAAGCCAGCAAATGAGTTGACAAAAACATGTTGTTATTACTTAACTCACTCCCTTGGAGGTTAGTCTTGACCAAGCTCAAAACACCCGTGTAAATTCTTTGAAGGACGATCGCAGTGCTGCACATTATGGCCTCCGGCAACACGGTGCCTACAAGAGATGTGTTGACACCCGCTGACCGGGGGTTACGGGATATCGTCACATGGTATTACAGTGATGTTATCATAGTTAAGTACCCACTAGGAGGTAATCACATAAAATA